TTAATAAAAACCTTCTTGTCCCAATGTGGACAAATAAAGCCATTCTATATTTTTTCTGTAATAAGTCATTTTTTTTTTTGAAACATTCTCACATTTTTAATTTAAAATATTTTGAATGTTTATTCGATACTCACAGTTTCATTAATATTTCAATTTCGTTCATTAAAAATTTGCCTAATCCTTTCCCTCTTAGACTAGGATGAATTACAACTGTTTGTATAAAAACTTTGGTTTTGGAAAATGGTAACTTGGAAATCTTGCAGTGACCTACAACTTTGGGTTTATTTTTTGTTACTGTTAATAAAATCAAACTCATTGGAAAGTTTTTGCATGAGCCTTCGATACTCCTTTTTCTATAAAAATTAAATTTATACATTCTCTTGAAATTAAAAATTAATTTTTTTGTCTGAAATGAAAATTTTTGGCAAATACCTTGCGACGAAACTTCTTTTCCATTCCAAATTAATTAATTCGCAACATTCGTTAATAAGATTGGGTTTGTTATGTAGGAAATCAACGTAATAAATTTCATTTTCTACTTTAACTATATTACCAGAAACACGATCTAAAACAAAAAGCAAAAAAAAATTATTAAACCACTTTAAAATGTTTAAATAAAACTTTAATAAAACATTTAAATAAATTTACAACCTCCCATTCCTAGTAGTTTAAAAGCCTAGAAATGCCATGAAAAAAAAAAAAAAAAAAACATTTTAAAGAAAAAAAAACTTGAGCACCATATACGGTCTGACGTGTCAGCAGAATTTAATCAAAACATTTGGAAGCGTTTAAATGGTGACTTATAACTAATTATAATTTATGTTAGAGTATTTATAAACGAAAAATTGTTTTTTTTTTAAAAAAAAAAGAGGTAATTTTGTTATCAACGCGTAGAATATTTACAACCTTTAACAGAAAAACAATTTCTTGTGCATTCGTCGTGATACGTAGGATTATTTCATTTAAACACAAAAAATGTCTCGTATGCCATTAATACCAGAAAATCCTCTTGGATTATCATGGCACGATAGTGCATGGGTACCTATATTAAATCCGTCAAATGTAATGGATTATTTTTCTGAGAGAACGAATCCATTTTTTGACAGAGCCTGCAATAATGAATTAGTAAAAATGCAAAGGCTCAACCCAGAACAATTAAAGTGAGTTTTTTTTTTTTTTTTTTACATTCAATTTAACATCGAATTACTTTTTGTAAATAAAATAAAATAATTAAAATTTTCAATGCAGTAACATGACTGGTTTAGAATATATTTTGCTCCATGTGCAAGAGCCTATACTGTATGTAATTCGTAAACAACATAGACATTCTCCTACTCAAGCAACACCATTAGCTGATTATTATATAGTCGCAGGAATCGTATATCAAGCTCCAGATTTAGCATCTGTAATCAATTCAAGATTGGTTTGTTGATTAAATTTTACATGAGGAATTCATGACTCTCAAAACCTTTGTCTATAAATTAAAACTTCTTTTTTTATAATAATAAAAAATTATTTTAGCTTTCAACAGTTCATCATTTACAATCAGCATTGGAAGAATCAAGTTCGTATTCCAGGTATCATCCATCCAAGGGATACACATGGGATTTCAAAGATAAAAAATTTTCAGAGAAAAAAGAAAAAAAAGAATTGACTAAAACGGAGCCTAGTTCTCTTTTTCAAAGGCAAAGAGTCGACATGTTACTCAACGAACTCACTCGTAAATATCCACCTCCAAGACCGCCAGGCATCGTTCAGGCTCAGCAACCTGAACGTAAGTTCATCTTCGTTTACTTTTAAATACCTACATCAAAATACAAAATTTATTAAATTTCTGTAATTTTCTTTCAGAAGAAATCAAACAGGAGCCTAAAACAGAAATTAAAACGGAACCGAATACGAGTTCTAAAAATATGAAACCACCACCGGAAAAGAAACCTAGAACTAATTAATTAAATATCATAGAGAATGTTTTTATGAATTTTTTTTTTATACTGGAAATCAAATTTTATATTTAATATTTTAAATGTTTATAGTCTTGTGAATAAAACTGTATCGTGTAAAAAATAAAAATTAAATATATATATATAAAAAAATAATACATATTTATGTTAGCGTTTCTTCCGATCTAATATATTCTCCTACATCAGCTTGACGAAAGCAAACTATCGTTATGGGATCTGCTAATTTACATTCTGCTGTTGATTTAGCAGCAACACCAAAACCCTGCAACAAACAATTAAAACATGTTTATTAGTTATTACATGACAATTTTTGTTTATGTAATATGTACATCCATCTCAGTCGACAAAAACTCAATTTGTAAGTTACTTACTAAAGGAACGTCTGTCATTGAATACACGACAACTCCTTGATATTTAGCCGTATTTTCAGTTATCCTACCTAATCCAGATTTCAATACATGATTACCATATAAAAATTGTTGTTCAGCTGTTGGTTTCAACCAAATTTTATACTGAAAGTAATTATTAATTAAATAATTTACAATTTCATTAACATTTACATTTACTATTGTAATCGTTACCTGAGCGTAGGGAGCTAATATATTTAATGCAGTGATGTGCATTTGAAATTTTCCACTTTTTGTAAATTTACCGATACACGTTCCTACGCTTTTTAAATTATCTGGATTAATATTAGATGAAAGTCCTAAAATTTTTTCCGACATGTAATACACACGATTTTTAAATTCTCTAAAACAGTAGGTTTCATCCGGCCTGTCGATTAATAACTTTACGTTACCTCCGATGCTAAAAAATTTTCAATTTTATTTAATATATTATATTATTTACTCCCCGCTCCCCAATAAAAAAAAAAAAAAATTATTATTATTGCTAAATTAAAAACGTACTATTTTGATAATTTTTCAAACACTAGCTTAAGTCGTTCTTCTGTTAAATGTTTCATTTTTTAAAACTATATTTAATTAATTATTATAATATAATATTAAATTAAAACAAACTACTTCACTTAAATACTATACAACATGTGGATTTGTTTTCGATTAGTCTGCAGCCACTGCAATGAATACGAAAGCATAGAGTATACACTTTATTTTAACCGCCGGTTGTTTCTCTATGGCTTTTTCATGCATTATTTAAAATCACAACTCGCTGCAATAAATTGCTGTTCTAATACTTATTCTAATGATTATGATATAAAAAATTTAATTACTTCATCGCAAAAATAAATTTTTTAAATAAAATAAATTTAAATTAAATTTATTTATTATGTTTTTTTTTCGAATTTTGATTCTCATCGAGTTCTTGCAATAATTTAAAACATTTATTTTTTAAAACTTTAACAGCTTCGACAAATAATTCATTCGGTGGTATCGCTCCAACTGATTCAATGTTAACTGTAAAACATGAAAATTTAAAAAAAATAGAATAATACACATAATGCGACATTGTAAAAAATTTTTTTTTTCTGTTAATTTTACTCACAAATAAAATGATTCCTCACTCTTTTCATTTCTACACAGTCTTTAAGATCTTCCTGCCTGAAAACGATTCTACTTCCAGAATCATACCTTGCACTTGCCACATAAGCTTCCTTTTCGCCCTCATCGTTTTCTCTGATTTCTATAACCCCAGGGGAAAAACAATTTTGTAGTCGTTCAGCAGCTTCTCCTGTCACTTTTTTAACCATCGTTATCTCTGGTAACATTCTATAAAATGCAGTCGCTAAAACAAAATATTAATAATAATAATATTCAATGGATGAAAATTGTAAAATTTTATCGAAATCTTTGGTAAATGGTGACAACATACCGACAGGAGAAAATTTAGTGTGATCTTTTCCCAAACCCTTAACAGCATGTAATTTTAAATCCAATTCTTGTCCAGGTCTCAACTTATTTAAAAGAATATCAGGTAAAACAGGTCCTATATTTTTTTCATCATATGTAGTTCCCTGACTTCCTATGGGAACCCATTTCAAATGTTTCGAATAAACGGAATGATTGATGTAAAGATCATCTATTTGATATGAATTCTTGTGTCCCTCTTTATTAACGCTGCATTTTATTTTTAATTCAAATTCTAGAGTGTCCTGCTCGTTTGGTTCGTTTGAATTTTCCGACCTGTATTCGAATAATCTAGAATCTGCTTTCAATGGCACTAAACCTAATCTGTGAGCGAGTACTTCGTCTTTTATCAAAGTTGTATTATTCGATACGAATACTTTTTCTATCGCCATGCTCGGTACTTCCGACAGCAATATCCTTCTGAACGCATTCGCAACGGCACAATTGATACCCACTAAATCAAATTCCATTTCCGTATCGTTTAATTTAACAATGACGACTTTGAATTTTTTTTTAAATTTATTATGATTCCAAACGTCGTCGTGATTTGAATAAACACCTGGATAATCCGTTTCGTGAGTCTGTAAAATTTTTTTTACATATAAAAATCAAACTAATAATGAAATCGACCGGTGGCATAAATTTATTATTATTTTTTTTATAATAAATATAACAATTACTCACATTTTCAATTCCGTTTTCTTTTAACACAACCTTATATCTACCCTCTTCCATTTTAATTAATTAATTTTTTATTTTAAATATATTATAATAATAAACAAGTGAATCGTCGTTTAAATAAAATTTGAAAATTTTTTTTTTAACGCTTAACCTACTATATTATTATCCACGTGTTCGAAGCGGCAACACTGTAAAAAATTTCAGCCATTTTTGTTTTCCTATATAGAGATTATAATCTGTCAAATAAAAAATTTTCTTAAATCCGACATTATCGATAAAAAAAAAAGGAAAAATAGTATTTAATTTATTTAAATTAATTAAATTTTATTTTAACCGAGTGAAAAATACTTTGTGGTAAAACTTAAATCTATCGAATAGTTTGAAAAAAATAACAAAAAAAAATAAAAATATATTTGGGGCGTTTTTTACACGTTCTCTAATACTGTGAAAAATGGTGATTAGAAATTTATCTGTTTATCGTTAAAATTAGTCATTTAAGATACATTAATTTAAAAATTACCAATTTTCAGATTCGTTTCATTCTGATTCAAAATCGTGCCGGGAAAACTCGTTTGGCAAAATGGTACATGAATATCGACGATGATGAAAAACAAAAATTAATCGAAGAAGTTCACGCTGTCGTGACCGTTAGAGATGCTAAACATACAAATTTCGTAGAGGTAAATTTATGACGACATTTTTTTCTCTCTCTTGTAATTATCCCTCGTTTATAATTAAACGTTTATTTCATTTACAGTTTAGAAATTTCAAAATAGTTTACAGGAGATACGCCGGCCTTTATTTTTGCATTTGCGTCGACGTGAACGACAATAACCTTTGCTATTTAGAAGCCATACATAATTTTGTCGAAGTTTTGAATGAATATTTTCACAACGTGTGCGAACTTGATTTAGTTTTTAATTTTTACAAGGTATGAACAAAAATTCTCCTACCTTCTCCCTTTTGGTTTCCTTTCAAATCCCAGTCCTTGTAACTTTTTGTATTCTTTCTTCGAGATACAAACTCGATTCATCGTTTCAGGTATACACTGTGGTAGACGAAATGTTTTTGGCTGGCGAAATAAGAGAAACAAGTCAAACCAAAGTATTGAAACAACTCTTGATGTTGAATTCCCTGGAATAAATTAAAAGAAAAGAAAAAAATTATTGTAAATCATGCTTTAAACTCATCATGTACATAAAACTCTTGTAAAAATATTTTACTCGAATCCTTGATTACACCTATAAGATGTAATTATGAATTAATGAAACAAACGGAATCTCTTTTCGCTGTGTGTAACACAGTGTGTCATGCCAACATTCCAAAAAAAAAAAAAAAAAAAAAAAAAAATAAGCAGAAGATACAAGTCGAGGAGAAAAAAAAAAATATTTTAAATAATATAAATGAAAAAACTCGAGTGTTATTACTAAAGAAATTACCGGATGATTTCTAGTTTTCTGTTGTTGTTGCTGTTGCTTTTTTCTGTGACGTCATAGTAATTTCCGCGTATCATTTCCAAAAAAAAACAACAACAATAATGAATAATAATAATAATATGAGAATTATGATAAAAATTAATTAATTATAATTATTTTTTTTTTTTCGATGAACAAAAATGTACTAAATAAATAAAATATATAAGATTATTATTATTATTATAATTAATTAATTATCGTTGTCTTATTTTTATTTATTTATTATATTAAAATCTTTTAATAATAAATAAAAATTTTTTTCTTTTTTAAAAAAATCGTTTCATGGAAAAACTAACAATAATAATAATAATAATAATGAAAAAAGAGGTCGTTGAATCGATTTGAAATTGTTTTAAATTTATCAGAGGTCATTACTAAAAAAAAAAAAAATTTCCTTTTCATATATATATATATATATGTATTTACATACATGTAATTAATAATAACAATCAGAATGATAATAATAATGATAATAATAATGATAATCGGAATTATTATATTCGAATGAATTTCAAAAAAGCAAATTCTTCACGGATTCACATTTAAAAAAAAAAAAAAAAAAAAAAATTTCAATGACAAGGGTCATTGTTTTAAATGATCCAACAACTACTTAAGTAAAATAAATTTTTATTTTATTTTATTTTATTTTAATATAATAATAATAATAATAATAATAATAATAATAATAATAATAATAATAATAATCACGGTCATCCCTTTGTCGTCTTATTTCCTGTCGGTCTTCAATGTAAATTTTTTAAACAAGTGAAAAACTTAAAAGGTTTGGTGAAGTATTTAGTTTTCTGGTACTAATT